GTTCCCTATTCTCTGGAAGATTCTCTGCGCGAGCCTGGCTATTACGGATAGCATTTCGTCGATTTTCTTCTATTCTATTTTCTATTATATTCCTAAAGTGTCTAACTCTTTGGGACACGATTCTATTGGCATCAAATGCCTCTTGACGGGCTTGTAATCGCGCACTTCGCCTTGCACTTGTATTTCGAGCCTGATCTATATGTCGACGAGTAGCGTTATGTCTAACACGAGACCGTAACAGCCTGTGCCTTCACCTTTTTAAAAGTCGTCGACCAAAATTTTGTCTGTTTTGAAAGTGCAGGACAGTATTGTGTAATTGCTCTGTCGCTCTGTATATAGGATTTTGCCTGCGTCTCGCTCGTCGCGAAGTATCGGCAATTTGTTCTATCGCCCTATAGTCAGGATCTTGCCTACGTCTTGATCGACGCGAAGTATTTGCAAGTTGTTCCTGTTCTCTAACTATAGGATTGCTTCGACGGCTTGAATGCTGTTTGGTATTCTGCTCTTGCTCTATCGCCCTGTATTCAGGATCTTGCCTACGCCTCGCTCGACGCGAAGTATAGGCAAGTTGTTCTTGCTCCTTAATTTGCAAATCTAATTGATGCATGGCACGATTATCAGTGTTTTCTGTCTGCTCCAAGTTTCTAACCCTTAAATTATTCCTACGAGTATGACGACGCGACGTTCACTATCGTTAATCTGCTCAACTTGACGATATTCTAAGTTTCCCCTTATTAACGTATATTACAGTGCTATAAACCTATCTGCCGTAAAAGTAAATGAATATTAGTATGTACATATTTCATTCATAAACGCAACAGTCATTAACAGTATAATTGGGTAAAGGGTATAAAAACGGAACTAAAGGGGCGTGCTTTCAAGATATTTTCGCTACCTACTGACCCTTTTAAAAGATGCTACAAGTTATAAAAAAGGCTTCGTTGGAATTTCATAGACCTGCCCAAAGGGCATTTCTTAAAGACGCTAATTATTATTGCCCAAAATATGAATAATTTTGACTGGTTCATCGATATGTACATATATTAACTGTGCAGTAAGCAGCGACTGCGCTTGGACTGCGGTGCAATGTGGACAATAATATGAGAATTTATTTGTTGAATAATTTCTTTTGTACAATCTTAATGAAACTCTCAGAACGTAATCATTATGTGTAACTGAAGTCTCCAGGCTTAATAGTGTTCAAATTAGGCTGAATAACAATATCCATTTATCGATTATCCTCGATAAAAAGATATCGGATAAGTTATCGAAAAAATATGATAAACTCGTACTGCGTATGGTATACACGGGTATGCATGCAAAATTTCACCTCTCTACCTCTTATATCTTCTGAGGTCGACGCACTCACACAGACGGACAGACGGACTGGGCCAAATCGACTCAGCTCGTCGCCCTGATCAAGAATATATATACTTTATTTGGCCTGCCACGCCTCCTTCTGCCCGTTACATACATTTTCACAAAAACATTTAACACTAAATTCCCATTTTTAATGGGATCAGGGTATGATTATGATTTATGTAGATTTGTCTGAATTTTATACAATTTCGATTTTTGTTATAAGGGAAATGGGTTACCATATAAAAATTTGGAATAGTCTTTTAGGTTTTGATTTGGTTTATAATATGTATACAATATTTATTAATCACGACATGTGTAAGTGAGTATCATAATGCCATTAACAATACTATATGGTTAGTGATAATGCGCAAATCTTAAAAATAAAGATGACAACTCTTATTGTCTATTGATTATTATCTATCGAGTATATCGATTAGAAGCAATATAAGTACCAGATAGCCACAAGAAAATTTATAATAGTATATATACTTTATGGGGTCTGCCACGCCTCCTTCTGCCTGCTACATACATTTCAACAAAACCATTATACCCTGATTTCCAATTGAAAATGGGTTCAGGGTATAAAAACAGAGACGGCATTAATACAAACACATAAACCGGAACTGAAACAAACACGGACAGTTAGATAGACGCGAAAGCTAGGGTGGTGTTGGCCTCTCGCTGTCTTCACCCAACTCTACAATGGTCTTCGTTTAAATATTTCATTGAAGATCCCCATACCAAAATGCTTCGACTTACTCTGTCTTCTATGCCATAATGCTATAGGCCTAGCCTATCATATTTATTTGCTACTATCTATCAAGTAAACTCAAAAAATTTCATGATTTTTACATTTATTCATTATTTTACAATTTGCTTATATACAAAAAAAAAAAAATTAATCTATTTACTATTTCATGGCTAATATAACCACTTATTTTACTAATATTATTTATTAATTCTTTGTTTTTGTTGTCGCAATTACCTGGTTAAGGCAGAACCGCCCCAACTACAAGGATATTTCTGATAGATGAAAGCGATTATATGCGGTGAGCAGGGGTGGTTCCTCCAAATAAGTGAAAACGTTGTGGGTGGGTTTAATCGTCTTTATTTTATTTCTTCACTAAATAAGGTTAAGTTGCTTTCACAAGTAGTTGCATACAATGAGTACTCAAAAACCCAGGAGAGGTAATTCACGAGACCGCGAGGTTATGCTATTGACAGTATTCTGTTAATAGCAATTAACAGTACTCTGTCAATAGCATAGCCGGCTATGTGGGGGAGGAGCAAGTCCTGTTAATGGGATCTGGCATTAACATTGAGCTGGGGGTCCATTTGGAGGATAGCGTCAATGTTGAAGTCCGATGTTCTCGAACGGATGGTCACTGTGCAGACCTCTCCCGGACACACGCTAGTGGCGGAAAGACCCATGGCCCTTGCCAATGAAGCATGGATCCGAGTTGTAGGGCTACACGGATCGATCAACGCCCTGACATCGAAGTCCTTGACATCCGTTTGCAGCGTTATGATTGCCGTGGGGAGGATGCTAGCGGCCTTGTGCTGCATAAGCGTGCTCAGCGGCGGCGTGACCTCTCTCGTGGAATTGGAGGCCGCTTGACGGCGACGTCGTTTCCGTGATCCACCTTGAGGCGTGGTTGTCACGGCGAGGGCGGAGGTAGAGTGCCCACTGGTAGGAGCCGCGGCGGGACGACGTCGCTGTCGGCGACGAGCTCCTGGCAGGTGCAGTAATAAGTGGTGGCTCTGGCCACACGCCTTGCACCCAACCTTGCTGCGGCAGGATTGCCCTGAATGCTGAAGCGCCAGACAATTCGCGCAGTATTTATTGATTAATACTGCGCGAAGACGTTTTTTGGCCGGAAGGCCCAGAAAACGCCGGCACTTCCGCAGAGCATGGATTTCTCTGCACACGCGGCATCGGAAAGAGTTGATGCCGGGTGTCTGCACAAGATGAGTGGCTGGTGTCATAGTTATCTGAGAATCCTGAGAATCGCTGGTGAATATGGAATGTAAAATAATGATAGAGAGCTATCCGGCTCGGAGGACCAAAATGTGCAGGGGTGGTTTCTCCAGATAAGTGAACACGTTGTGGATGGGTTTAAAGATCTTTATTTTATTTCTTCACTAAAATCGGTTAAGTTGCTTTCACAAGTAGTTGCATAGAATGAGTAGTCAAAAGCTCAGGAGAAGCAATTTACGAGAGCGCGCGGTTATGCTATTGACAGCATTCTGTTAATAGCAAGTAACAACACTCTGTCAATAGCATAGCCGGGCTATGTGGTGGAGGAGCAAGTCCTGTTAATGGGATCTGGCATTAACATGCGGAATTCCTTTATATCTTTTTAAAATGTTATGCCAAGGTAGCAGGCTTTGATAAGGAATCTTAAAATAGAGCTAAGTTATGCCACTATGGTAACTCCAGGTACCCCGCCAGTTAAATATAGGGGATACAACTTCGATTACACCTCTTGATAGATAGACCGCAAAGTAGTCCGTAAGTCCTGTCTGTCGTAGATCTCAACTTTGCTTTTATGAGCTCTGTCAAGATCAAGTCCGCCGGTCACAACCTAAGCGTCGAGCACAATCGTGCTATCGTGTCGGAATGCTAACAGATCGGGTTTATAAAAACTGTCTTAGCCGTCCAGGCTCTGTTCTGAATAGACGAAGTAATCTCTTTTCTCAAGCCCCGTCTTGAGATAGGAAGCCACTCCATTGTGCCTATACACACGAGTGTTCTATGACATTTCTGCAGAACGTGAATTAATGACTCAGGAGAATCACATCCTGCTCGGCACTGTCTATTCAGTTCGTGCCTTCCCCGCGTGGTCCGAGACCTCGTGGGAAGAGCATTTATGCGCAATTTGATCCCAGACCGATAAGCTTGACCGCTCATCAGCCTTGTGGGTTGACATACCCATCCGTGTTGCGGAGCATAACGTCCAGCTTCACGGAGACCATTACCATCAACAGTCATGTACAATCTAGTCGCCTAGTGCGAATCAATCTTTGATCGTGATAACAGCTCTTCAATTCCTGCCTTTGCTCTATCTCGGAACCTGCAGAGCTCGCCACTGAGAAAGCTACTGGCCGCCCCTGATTGTTCGAGTTGAGGTCATTTGACATTGAGCAATCTCTTAGTGCGTAGCATAGGAGCTAACCAGCGTACCGAGGGAATCCCGAGACCCCCACAACTATGAGGGGCATGGAAGAACGCAACTGACACGTCCAACGGAAGATCGACTACCTTCCTGACGAAAGACCGTACCAGCTTGTCAGTGAAAAAGTCTCAGAACGCCCAATGCAACACTACCAAGTGTAAGCATATGATAAAGCTGAGGAATAAGGACAGTTCTGAGGGCGAACAACTTCTGTTGTGGTTTGAGGGGGGGCTCATATCAATCTCTCCATCTTTGGAATTAACTCCTCCGAAGGATTGTATCGAGCCCTCCCACCGGCAGTAAATTTGATGCCAAGATACTTCCATTCCTCTGAACGCTTCAGGCTTGGGCACGAACTAGGACTTACACGGAAGCTCCGTGCTTCGACCACGGTATACTTTTGTTTCGGTTGCCCCTTAATACTAATAGTGAAACACTTATCAGCATTAAGGGTTAGCCCCACGATTGATAGAAACACAACCGTAGTGTCCAAGAGCTCCTGAAGGCCCTTAGGGGTGGAAGCAAACAGCACCAAATCATCTGCGAAGGCTGCAGCATTAGTTTTGGCATTTCCGACACTGACACCGATGTCGTTGGATAGAGACCTGAGCAACCGGTCAATGACCAAATTGAACAGTACGGGGGCTTATGAAGATCCCTCAAGACTAAATCGACTTTGGTCGCGTTATCGGCACATCCGTCCGTGGGTAGAAAGCCTCGCTGTCTTGGGTCCTAGTTAACGGAGTCCGCTAACCTTGACGCCAATATAGCATTCAGTTGTCTCACCACGACCAAAGGCACCGATATCGGACGAAAGTCTTGCGGTCTTGTCACTCTAACTGTTTTCGGAATGAAAATAGTTCGAGCAATTCGGAAGCGGACGGGCAAATCTCCGCACCAAAGAATCAAGTTCATAATGCGAAGCATTATGCCGACTATTTGCAGGATAGCGTCAATGTGAAAATCTGATGTTTTTGAGCAGATGGTCGCCGTGCACACCTCTCCCGGACCCACGCTAGTGGCGGAAAGACCCATGGCCCTTGCCAATGAAGCATTGATCCGAGTAGTAGGGCTACACGGATCGATCAACACCCTCACATCGAAATCTTTCTGGCCTGTTTGCACAACGACAATTGCCGTGGGCAGGATGCTGACGGCCTTGTGCTGCATCAGCGTGCTCAGCGGCGGCGTGGCTTCCTTCGTGGCCCTGGATGCTGCCTGGTGGCGTCGTCCTTTGCGGGATCCTTTTTGGGGTGTAGGTGTCCCGGCGAAGGCGGAGGAGGTGGGCCCGCTGATAGGGGCTGCAGCGGGACGACGTCGCTGTCGGCGACGAGCTCCAGGCAAATGCAGCAGCGTGTGATGGCTCTGGCCACACGTCTTACATTTCGCTTTGCTTCGGCAGGATTGCCCGGAGTGTTGGTGCGCCAGACAATTCGCGCAGTACTTGTTGATGAGTACGGCGCGAAGACGTTTTTCGGCCGGAAGGCCCAGGAAACGCCTGCACTTCCGCAGAGCGTGGACCCCTCTACACACGCGGCATCGGAAGGAATTGATGCCAGGTGTCTCCACGGATTGAATCGAATGATTGGCTGATGACATAGCTGAAAAGGAGAGATGTGCGGGGGTGGTGAGTGACGGAATAAGAGGCACATACATTGTTAGTTGGACATCACAGCGGTGTTATCGTCCGTTGGTAGGATGACCAACTTATGGACGGGTCTACGGACAATGCCCCGGGAGGTGAGAATGTCCGCCACTCGGACCTTCCCATCATCTCCTGGGTGCGTGAGGTGGACACGGCCGAGCCGCCACTCGTTGATGGCGACATTGTCGTCTTTCACGATGACCATGTCGCCGACCTTCAAGTCACGTTGTGCGAATTGCCATTTATTACGTTTATGCAGCTCCTTAAGATACTCTTCTTTCCAACGGAAACAGAATTGTTGGTGAAGAGCCTTAAGTCGCTGCCAGCGATTCAGGATAGACATCGCATCTTGCGTAATTCTGGGCTCAGTAATAGTTATAAGAGGCCCACCGACTAGAAAGTGTCCTGGAGTAAGGGCTTGAAAATCGGTGGAATCCTCGGACATGGGTGCTATCGGTCTCGAGTTGAGGCAGGCTTCTATTCTTGCCAAGAGGGTCGAAAGCTCTTCGAAAGTATATTTCGACGTGGCAGTGGATTTGTAGAATAGGGCCTTGAAACTCTTCACCCCTGATTCCCACAAGCCGCCCATGTGTGGTGCGCTCGGTGGGTTGAAATGCCAGGATAGGCTATGGAGAGAGTGCTTTGCAAGCACCTCGGATCGGAGTGATTCCACAAAGTCTCGTGATAAAGTCTTTGCGGCTCCGACAAACGTTTTCCCGTTGTCGGAGTAAATCTTCTGCGGACATCCACGCCGAGCCACCAAGCGGGAGAACGCCGCTAAGAATTTTTCGGTGGTTAAGTCGGACGTGGCCTCGAGATGGATAGCCTTGGTGCTGAAACACACAAACACACAGACGTAACCCTTTGTGATGAGGCAGGCTCGTCCGGCGTAATTCTTCACATCGAAGGGGCCTGCAAAGTCGACGCCTACGACGGTGAAGGGCCTGGTGAAGGTTGTGCGATCAGCTGGCAGATCGCCCATCATTTGCGTTTGGAGACGCTTGCGGTAAACTACGCAGGACTTGCATGAGTTTATCACCGATTTGATGAGGACCTTCAGCTTAGGGATCCAGAATTGTGAACGGATGAGTCTCACAATTAATTGGTTCCCGCCATGCAAGGATATGCGATGGGTGAAGCGGACCAGCAGCTTTGTGAAAGAGCACGAAGAAGGGAGGATGATGGGGTGGCGCTCGTCATAGCTTAAGGAGGCGGATGTCCTTATGCGTCCGCATGCTCTCAGGATACCTTTACTATCCAGGAAAGGATTAAGATTGCGGAGTGAACTTGAGGCCGGAAGTTGTTTCTGTGCACGTAAGCAGCTGATCTCGTTTGAGTAGATTCTGTTTTGGCTCAAGGAGATGAACCTGGACTGAATAAAGTGCAATTCATCAGCACTGAGCTCTTGCGATGGAGGGGGAGCGGATCTCCTGCACCGGTTGATGAAACGAAACATCCAAGCGGTGACACGGAGGGCTCGATGAAGTTCTGAAAACCTGCTTATGAATTCAGCTGGAGGAGTCAAGGTGGCAGCATGACTTTTAGATGCCTTTTTCTCTAGAGCAATCTCCAAGCTAAGAACAGGAATGATTGGCCAGTGAGACTGGGAAAGTCGAAGCCAATCTGGGCCATGGAACCATAGCGGATTTGAAAGAAGTTCTTGAGGATGAGCTCCTCTGCTAGCTAGATCCGCAGGATTATGCTCTGAGCTGACATGATGCCAGTCACCAGGATTGGTGAGCTCAGTTATTTTACTGATCCGATTTGCGACGAAGGTTGTCCAATTGCAGGCAGGCTTGTTTAGCCAGGCTAAGACAATAGTCGAATCGGTCCAGTAAAAGGACTGAAAACTGACTGCCGGGGATGCCGGGAGCAGTACTGAGCATAAGTCGGTCAGAAGGACAGCACCGCAAAGCTCCAAGCGGGGTATAGAAATGGATTTGATCGGAGCGACTCTCGTTTTGGCGGAGAGCAGATTGACGAAGATCTGGTTGCCAAGTTCTACACGGAGATAGACAGCCGCTCCGTAAGCACGCTCCGATGCGTCACAAAACCCATGAAATTGGATAGTGGCTCGAGGTTGGAAATGTACCCATCGAGGCACACGAATGTCCCGAAGGCTGGAGAAGCTGAGGAGAAACTCTTGCCATTGGGTGAGGAGATCACCCGGCAGAGGTTGGTCCCAATCTAAATCGCGTAGCCAGAGCGCTTGCATAAATATTTTTGCTCGGATGACAAAAGGTGCCAACCACCCTGCGGGGTCGAACAACTTGGCGATCTGTGAAAGGACCGACCTCTTTGTGTAGGTCTCCTGGAGAGGAATGTTGGGGGGCGAAAAAAGAAACAGATCGGCTTGCGCTTGCCAACGTAGGCCTAGAGTCTTTGCTGTGCTTGAATCTTCTAGCTCTAAGAAGTCCTCGCACAGCCGATGACTCTTTGGAATAGCCCTTAGACAATCCATGGAATTGGATGTCCACTTCCTTAATGGAAACCCCGCACTCTCCAGAGCTTCTATGAGTTCGGCGATGGTTGCGATCACCTCTTCTTTGGAATGTGCTCCTGCAAGTACGTCATCGACGTACATGCACTCGGAGATGACCTTGCTGGCGAGAGGCAAACGGGATCTCACGTCATTTGCGAGCTGTTTGAGAACTCTCAAAGCCAGGAAGGGAGCACAGTTTACTCCAAAAGTGACGGTGCTTAGCTCGAAGTCCCCGATGTTGCCGTCTGGCTTACGGAACAGGATTCGTTGGAAAGGGGTGTGTTTTGGATCAACACGAATTTGGCGATACATTTTAGTGATATCTGCATTGAACACGTATCGATAGTATCGCCATTGGAGGATTTGCATCGTGAGGTCGGACTGAAGGACCGGGCCTGGATGAAGAATATCATTCAGGCTCTTCCCATTGGAAGATGGGCACGATGCATTGAACACCACCCTCACTTTGGTGGTGGTGCTGTCGGGCTTAAACACTGCGTGGTGAGGCAGGTAAAAGTTACTCATTGCAGGATTGCAATGTGAAAACACTGGCCTCATATGACCCAAGTCGAGATACTCTTGCAGGATAGCTTCGTATTCGGCCTTGAGTATCGGATTCTTGGACAACCTGCTCTCATTTTTGAGAAACTGCCCCAGAGCGATGGATCGCGAATGACCTAAGTCAGGGTGATCCGGATTTTTAAACGGAAGAGTCACGACGTAGGAGCCAGACTTGTCTCTCCGTGTGGTTCGGACAAAATTGTCCTCACACGCAGAGTCCGGCTCACTGGCTACCTTGGGGAGATTCTCCACCTCCCAAAATTTGGTGATGAGATGGTCGAGTTTCTCATCGTGGAGAATGGTAACCCTAGTCGTGAAAGCGGAAATTGACTCTTGAGGCTTCTTTGTGACTGGACCCGTAAGAATCCAGCCAAAGATTGTTTCTTGGCCCATTAGTGATCCGCAGAGGTTAGGGCGGAAGCCCCCCTGAACGATCGACGGAAGGATATCCGCGCCTAAAAGAACGTCAATTTGAGCGCTCTTGAAGAAAAGTGGATCAGCTAATGGGATGTCGGGCAGATTGTTCAAGAGATTTTGTGGAATGGGGTACGATGGCAGATTGCCGGAGAGCCGTGGGATGACTAAAGCTGAGGCCTCAATTCGAAGTCGGGGTTTCAGCGGAGTGCCGATATGGAAATCACAAAGCTTCGTTGATTTGGCTGCCACGGAGTGGCCTAGACCGGACACCTGCGTTTGCACGGATCGGAATGGTAGCTTCATCAGACGGAATAATCGTTCGGAAATGAACGTTGCTTCGGACCCCGAGTCGATTAGAGCCCTGGCTGGATATGTGACCCCCAAATGACACACATCAATTACGGCCGTTCCAAGTAGGACCCCTGGAGTATCGGCCGTGAAATACGACTGCACGTTACGAGGTACTTCGGACGTACCTGGAGTCGCAGCGGCTCCGGATGAGGAGCTGTTTGCTGTGGAGCCTTCCCGGTGAAGCAGTGTATTGTGCCTCCCCTTGCACTTGGCGCAATTGTGAATACTAGTGCAGTCGCGCAGTTGGTGCCCTTGAGCAAAACAGTTCAGGCAAAGTTGCCTTCGCTTTATGTATGCTTCGCGCGCTGCCAAGGACATTTGGCTGAAGCGAGGACACAGACGAACCGGATGGTTCTCTTTAGCACACAAATCGCACTTTTTGGATTTGGGCTGAACTTGTGTCTCGAAGGCATGGACCTTTTTATTAGAGGTGCTGGCCGTGGATTTCGGGTCTGCACCTGGGACTTTGGGGAGGGACCTATCACCTTCCATAGCTTCAAGCGCGCGAGCATGTTCGCTGATGAACAGACTCACGTCTTTCCAGGCTGGGATGTCTGATTTTCGCGTTAATGAGTGCTCCCAGAGAGATCGAGTGTGTTCAGGTAACTTGGAAGTACACAAGAACACAAGGATACAATCCCAGTTCTCCGTAGAGATCTGAGCTTGCTCGATGGCAGTGACACACCGATGGATGGTGCCATGCAACTCTCTGAGAGCCGCGCCTGATTCTTTGGTGACCTTGGGGAGATTGAGAAGGATCTTAAGCTGACTGTTCACTAACAGTCGCTTGTTCTCGTACCGGTCACACAAGGCGTCCCAGGCCGATGCAAAGCCATCGTTCGTGAGCGGGCACTCAGCGACTAAGGCATTTGCATCACCTGCTGTTTTTGAATTTAGGTGGAATAACTTTTCCACCGGAGTCAGGCGCGGATTTTGGATATATATTGCAGTGAAAAGATCACGGAATGTTGGCCAGCGCAGGTAGTCGCCATGGAAAACTTCCGTATCAACGGGTGGCAGGCGACAGCCTCCAGACGAGGCGAAAGGAGCGGACATAGGAGCGGGCGGTATACTCGATGCGGAAAGTGCATCGATTTGCACCCCCAGGTGCGTCGTACACCGTTCATACACAGTATAGCAATGGTCGAATTTAGCCTCCATGGCTTCAACTTCGCCACTGCTCGCCCCTTGGCTCAACGCTCTGGCACAGACCTTGTACTGCTGTTCAGCATCATCCCATAATGCCTTGACACGATCTCGGCGGATCTCGAAGGCCCGGAGCTGAGCCGCATGAGTGGCGTTAGAATCTCCGGGACCGTCGATGCGGGCCTCGAATTTGATGAGCCTATCCGCAGCAGCGATGAAATCGGACAGAGACATTTTAGACGGACTTGCGGGCTTTGGACTGGATCGGGTGACGACCGGACTACGCTTGAAAGTGCTGCTTGTCTGCGGTTTCCCGGACGGAATGGGTGATGCAGAAGCACTGCGCTTAATGAGACGTGAAGCGGGGACACTCAGCTGCGCTCGGCTAGAACGATCGGACATGGAGGCTTACTCGGACACCGGTTAAGCAAAGCCTGGAGAGTCGGCAATGAAGGCGGAGTTTGATCACCGAATCGAAATTTATCAGACCAAACAAACGTTTTGTTTGGGAAATAATGAATACAAACACAAAAGAAGGAGAAAAAATAACAAAAACCAAACGGGAAGAATATTAACTAAATCCTCAAAGAGAAACAAAAAAAAAAAAAAAAATGCAAATCGAAGAATATAAAAAAATAGTAAAAATTAAAAAAAATAAAAATGTATATGTATCAAAATATTTAAAAAATTAAAATTATTAAAATGTACGATTTTATATGTATTTGCTATTTAATTAATTATGTTCCGCTCCGTTTTGATCTAATATTTTTTTTGTGGTTTTATATATTTATTATTATTTCAACTATCGGTATCAAAAAACAATAGTTGCGCGCTGTGATCTCTAAGAACCAAGGTATCGCCACGGAGTTGTGGCGGCTGTCGATAAATCTTGTTATTGGTATATGTGGATATGCAAATTTTTCTAAATGCGATCACTAGCGTTTGCACACGAAGCAACAAGTGGAATATATTTATTATTATTTTCTATTTTTTGCAAGTGTTATGATGTGTGTTTTGTTAATATGTTAATTAATTATGTGTTAATTGTGTTGCTGCTCTATATGTACATTCATATGGATATATGTATGTACATATGTTTACTACCCTCTTATATTTAGATTGCAGAGCACAGCGGAGACACAATTAGCACACACACACGTACAAGGAAAAAAAATGCAAATATAAATATGTGAACATAAATATATAATAAATATGTGATATGTAAATATGAAAATATAAAAATTTAAAATAAATTGTAATAAAACGACAAGGATATGTTTTTTCTGTTTTATCTTTATTTATTTTAATATATATTTATGGTGTGGAATGTACAAACAGATGTGCATATGTATATGTGTATGTATATGCAGTGGGAATCTTGTATGTACGTACATATATTGCAGTGGAATCGCAATTAAATGTGTGCAATCGGACTATTATGATTGGAATTGAATTGCGACAAGACACAAAGGATATTGTGTGTTATGTCTTAGCAAGACGGAAAGATTCGGAATTGAATATACAACGGACTTGAAGGTTAATGTATACATATGTCGCAGCGCGATTTTCATCGCTGATGCCATCCATATTCACAGATTTAAAAGTGTAGCGCGTTTCTGTTATTGCGTGTCGCTGGCGTTCACCATCACCGGAAAAAGAGTGAAGCCACGCTTCCACCACTCGACCGACCACCACAAAACAGAGTCGCACTGGCGATATATCGGTCCATCGACTTACCACCACACTTTCCCGTCCGTACAGCAACCCTGTTACTGTGTTGTACATTGTCTCAAGTGTTATACAACACTGTCTGCCTCTTTAGGCGCCAACTTCAAATTAATAATTCAATCTCCTACACGGCCTACCTGACCAGTCACACGTCCCTGTGTGATTTCGGACACATAGTCACATTTCCATTTATTTTCCCTTTTTTTTTTTTTTTTTTTTTTTTTTTACATTTGTATTTCACATTCTTTTCCTTATAATAGGTTCACAATCTTTAGTTTAGTCCATTAAGCTTATTGTACAATTCGTTTTCTCTTTCTTCGTACTTATTACTTTTCAGACTTTTACAGTTTTCTTTTCACAAAGTTTCATCACATATTCTGACTCCCGCCATAACAAGTCCATCTGTTACAGTGCAGTCTCATATCATTAGACTCCCGCCATAACAAGTCCATCTGTTACAGTGCAGTCTCATATCATTAGACTCCCGCCATAACAAGTCCATCTGTTACAGTGCAGTCTCATATCATTAGACTCCCGCCATAACAAGTCCATCTGTTACAGTGCAGTCTCATAAATTCATTTATTAAGTTTACACATTATTCTATATTATTCTATTAGTCTTCATATAAGTCTCCTGTATTTTGATTATTTGGCAATGCTTTTAAGAATTCGTGTGAATATTTATAAGTTCGCTTATTACTTAAAGATTTTAACAGGTATCGATCCCCTTTTAATACTTCAATTATTTCAAATGGTCCCTTGAATTTTGGATCAAGTTTAGTTTGATGACGTTCTTCGTTTTTAAGCAACACATGATCACCCAAGTTATGCTTAACAATATTCGCTTTGTTTTTATCAAATCTACATTTTTCATAATGTGCATTTTCATCCATGTTTTTCTTAGCATCTTTTCTTATATTATCCCTATCTATATCGTTATCATTTTCTTCAATTATTGGCAACAAACCAAAAGGTCTTGCATCTTTACCAATTAACAATGCCAATGGACTATACTTAGTCACTCGATTTGCCGTGCAATTCATAGCCAATTGAACTTCTGCCAACGCATCCTGCCATGATCTCTGACTAGTTTCAACTGCAGTTAGCATATTTTTCAGTGTGCTCATCACACGTTCTACTTGTCCATTGGCTCTACAAGCCCCCGTTGCAATTAAGTGTAAATTGATTCTTTGAGAGGAACAGAATTCACGAAAACCTGAACTTGCAAAACAACGACCTTGATCTGCTATTATCCTAGTGGGTAAACCAAATATTGATACAACTGATTTCACTGCTTTGATACAATTTTCGGTATCTAAATTCAAAGTATGGTAAAAATACACAAACTTTGTAAAAGCATCTATTAGAACGATTACGTATTCCTTCAAATCACTTTTCCCGCTTAATTTACCAGTTATATCAATATGTATGGTGTGCCACGGGATTTCTATCTTGGGAATTGGATGCAATTCCACTTGCTCTTTTCCTACAGGAGCCTTAGATATTTTACAAGTAATGCAATTGTCCACAAATTGACGCACATACTTTGACATATGTTCAAACCAATAGTAACTATATACTTTATTTAAAGTCTTTTCCCATCCGAGATGCATGATACTTTCGTGTACGTGATTTATTACAGCCCATCTAAAGCCCCTCGGAATTACCGGCAAACATTTTGTTCTTCCATTTCGTTGAATCTTCCTATGCAATATTCCCTTTCGCAATTCATAAGTCCTCCCTAGACTATCTGGCAATTCATTGTTTTTATATTTTGTTATTAGGTCACATATCTCCGGGTCACGCTGTTGTTCAGATAACAACCAATTATCAGTCACCTCTGCCAAATTTACTTGCATTTCTGGTATTTTGATGGCATTTTTAATTTTCTCTGATACTGGATTCCGTGACAAACAATCAACATGCGCCATTCGATCGCCTTTCCTGTACTCTAAATCAAAATCAAAGGATTGCAGAAATGCCCACCATCTATGTACTCTGGGAGTTAAATCCAACTTAGTACGGCTAGATTTCAGAGAATTACAGTCTGTGTAAACGACGAATTTGCGTCCCTGCAAATAATGACGGAAATGTTTAATACCGTTAACTACTGCTAGAGTTTCTAATTCATACGAATGATATCTAGATTCAGCAGGAGAAGTGCATTTACTGTAATACTCAACAACATGAGGGTTATTATCTATCTTATGTAACAATATCGCTCCATAGCCTATTGCACTTGCGTCTGTATGCAATTCTAGTGCATGCTTTGGGTCGAATATGATTAATACTGGTTCTTGCGTTAGGATATTTATTACTCTTAACCGAATTTGTTCATGTTCTGATTTCCAAATGAACTCCGTATTATTCTTTGACGTGAGTTGGTACAAAGGCTTTAACATTTCTGAGAATTTGGGGACGAATTGTCGGAAATATGAAGATAACCCAATAAATTGTCTTAACTGTGTCACGGATTGTGGCGGTGGTAACCCTACCAAAGCTTGGACTTTACGCACATTCGGCCTGATTTTTCCATCACTAATTTCAAACCCAAGATACTCAATACTTGTTCTGAGAAAGGAGCATTTGTTTATGTTAAACGAGAAACCGGCTTTAATTAAAGCTTCCAACACGATCTGCAAACGACTCAATGCTTCTTCCTTAGTTTCGGCTGCAATCAAAACATCATCAATGTAAACAATAGCAATAGTATTTGCTAATGTTCCCAAAGCCTTGATTATAGCCCGCTGAAACACTGACGGTGCATTTTTAAGACCGAAAGGCATTGTCAAAAATTCATATTGCCCTTCAGGCGTTACAAAGGCTGTTCGCTCTATTGAGTCCACATGCACAGGGATTTGATAAAAGCCACTTGCCATATCAACACATGAGAAATATCTTGCACCACGAAGTCTAGCAATCTGGTCTGAAATAAGGGGCAACGGATATTTGTCTGCCACGGTGTTATCATTTAGCATACGATAGTCCACACAAAGACGATCAGTACCGTTTTTCTTTTTAATCAACATCATCGGACTAGCGAAAGGAGAACAACTTGGCTGTATGACATTTGCTTTTAGTAATTCATCAATTTTTTGTCGCACTCGGTCTTTCTCATCTTCACTTAGTCTGTACGGGCGCCGTTGTACTGTCTTTTGCGGGTCAATCAATCTAATCTCCAATTGCCCTGTGGTAACCCGTGTCTTAGGAATTCCGTCAATAAAGGAGTCACTATACAATTTCAAAATATTTATCAGTGTCATCTTATCATGTTCGTTAATATGGCTACTTGAACTTATAATGTCTTCGTATCCTGTTTTATTTACAACCTTCACCTCTTTGGTTTTATACATCTGAAACCTGGCAGCGTCTATTAAAACACCGAAGCCCTGACCAAGAATTTCACGGCCAATCAGCACATCATAATTCAAAAATCTATCCAAAACGACATGTAATAATATCTCAAAGCAATACTGTTCAATGGTTATATTAGCCAAAATTTGCTGGATGCTACATATTGAGTCATTGCCAATTCCATTTAACTTTACAATGTTATTAATACGTTTCCCCTTAAATTTATCAGCTTTGCTCTCCTTCACTAAGGAACATTCTGCACCAGAATCGAAGCAAAACGGAACAGACTCACCGGACAGATTAATAACTCCAGACGGGGGAGCTATTGTGCAAATGTCCACACGCTTCTCATAAACCTGGCCGCTTCCACCAGCTCGGCCCTTTGGTCCAGCCGTAGTGCTTCCATTGTGATTCCTTCCCATGTTCTTGCTCTTCTCCAGTCTGGATCGACATTCGGCGTACTTGTGGCCAACCTTTCCGCAGAAGTTGCACTTCATCTGGTTCAAAAGCTTGGGCTTCTTATGCTCCTGAGTAGCACACGTCTCGCCATCCAAGTTGCGCTTTTTGAAAGCATGCGCATGTAGTTGTTGTTGTAGCTCATTGAGTGACTTGACGTTTTCAGTGAAGATCCAGCGTGACAATTTGTCATCCAGTTGAGCCATGTGTGCCAACGTTAACGACACTGCAATCTCTTCCAGATTTGTAGACTTCCACTTTGACAAGAGCAGCGTGACGATGCGAGTCCCATATTCAGCGGGACCTTCTCCCTTCTTGGGTCGGCCATGTAAGACGTTTAAGAGAACAGCTGCATTGGTCTCAACTCCGATGAATCGTGCAGTGAACAAATCCTTGAACTGCGTCCAAGTAATGCCAGCGTAGCACACTTGTGACAGCCACTGCGAAGCGCTACCTTCCAGAGCCTTGCTCAATGCCATCACTAGTTCGCTGCCTTCGACCGTGTTGTCCGCCATGACCAAATCCACCGTAGTGCACCATGCCGAAGCGTCCGCACCATCGCCATCTGGGTTGAATTTCGGGAGCGTCACTTGTTTTGTTTTTTTTCTCCGCAGAACTTTCAGGTGTCATCAATTTTTTAATTATTTCCATGAGACTCCCGTTCTGCGCTAAAAGCGATGTGATGTCAAGATTGGGAGGCTGAGCAGATCCCACTTCTGATGTCGCAGCGCGATTTTCATCGCTGATGCCATCCATATTCACAGATTTAAAAGTGTAGCGCGGTTCTGTTATTGCGTGTCGCTGGCGTTCACCATCACCGGAAAAAGAGTGAAGCCACGCTTCCACCACTCGACCGACCACCACAAAACAGAGTCGCACTGGCGTCTGTACAGCAACCCTGTTACTGTGTTGTACATTGTCTCAAGTGTTATACAACACTGTCTGCCTCTTTAGGCGCCAACTTCAAATTAATAATTCAATCTCCTACACATACATATATGTATGTATGTATGGCTCTGGACTTCACGTATCTGAATATATAAGAATATATAAGAATATATATATTCAGATTCGTGTCTAATATATAAGAATATATATATTAGTGGGATGCAACTTGCACAACAATGTAAAACATACATATATGGCGGAAATGTCGTATGACAAATGCCGGTATGCACTGATATATGTATGCAAGTTGCAGTGAGAGAAATGTAAGGAATTACTTATCTGACACTCCTAAGAATCGCTGGTGGATCTGTATATATCCGGCTCGAAGGACCAAATGTTGCAGGGTGGAGTCTTCAAATAAGCAAAGTTGTAGGGATGTGGTCTTCAATAAGAACACGTGTGTTTATTTTTCTTTAAAAACTTATTTTTATTAAGCACACGCAAAATGGCGGTAATTCAAGTCGTTGTACTCAGTAGTGTGGTAGGAATAATAGTAGTAGTAGTAATAGTACTTGGCGGAGGGCCAAGTACTGAGAGCAAGCGGTTATGCTATTAACAGCAAGCTGTTAATAGCATAATCGGGCTCTGTGGGGGAGGAGCAATCCTGTTAATGGGATCTGGCATTAACAGATGGGTTTAAAGATCTTTATTTTATTTCTTCACTAAAATCGGTTAAGTTGCTTTCACAAGTAGTTGCATAGAATGAGTAGTCAAAAGCTCAGGAGAAGCAATTTACGAGAGCGCGCGGCATAGCCGGCCGGACTGGCAAATAAAATACCCCCATCGGGTTGGTGTTACTATTGAAATTATATCGTGTACTTTGTATAGGCTTTTTTAAATTAAAATTGACTCTCATTTTTGTCAATAGCTTTAAGAAAATAAATAAATAAATAAACACTCTGTCAATAGCATAGCCGGGCTATGTGGTGGAGGAGCAAGTCCTGTTAATGGGATCTGGCATTAACATGCGGAATTCCTTTATATCTTTTTAAAATGTTATGCCAAGGTAGCAGGCTTTGATAAGGAATCTTAAAATAGAGCTAAGTTATGCCACTATGGTAACTCCAGGTACCCCGCCAGTTAAATATAGGGGATACAACTTCGATTACACCTCTTGATAGACAGACCGCAAAGTAGTCCGTAAGTCCTGTCTGTCGTAGATCTCAACTTTGCTCTTATGAGCTCTGTCAAGATCAAGTCCGTCGGTCACAACCTGAGCGTCGAGCACAATAGTGCTATCGTGTCGGAATGCTAACAGATCTGTTCTGAATAGACGAAGTAACCTCTTTTCTCAAGCCCCGCCTTGAGATAGGAAGCCACTCCATTGTGCCTATACACACGAGCACCGTGTGTTATATGACATTTCTGCAGGACGTGATTTAATGACTCAGGAGAATCACATCCTGCTCGGCACTGTCTATTCAGTTCGTGCCTTCCCCGCGTGGTCCGAGACCTCGTAGGAAGGGCATTTATGCGCAATTTGATCCCAGACCGATAAGCTTTACCGCTCATCAGCCTTGTGGGTTGACATACCCATCCGTGTTGCGGAGCATAGCGCCCAGCTTCACGGAGACCATTACCATCAACAGACATGTACAATCTAGTCGCCCAGTACGAATCAATCTTTGAACGTGATAGCAGCTCTTCAATTCCTGCCTTTGATCTATCTCGGGCCCTACGGAGCTCGTCGCTGAGAAAGCTACTGGCCGCCCCTGATTGTTCGAGGTGAGGCCATTTGACATTGAGCAATCTCTTAGTGCGTAGCATAGGAGCTAACCAGCGTACCGAGGGAATCCCGAGACCCTCACAACTATGAGGGGCATGGAAGAACGCAACTGACACGTCCAACGGAAGATCTACTACCTTCCTGACGAAAGATCGTACCAGCTTGTCACACTTTCTCAGAACGCCCAATGCAACACTACCAAGTGTAAGCTTATGATAAAGCTGAGGAATAAGGACAGTTCTGAGGGCGAACAACTTCTGTTGTGGTTTGAGGGGGGCTCGTATCAATCTCTCCATCTTTGGAATTAAGTCCTCCGAAGGATTGTATCGAGCTCTCCCATCGGCAGTAAATTTGATGCCAAGATACTTCCATTCCTCCGAACGCTTCAGGCTTGGGCACGAGCTAGGACCTACACGGAAGCTCCGTGCTTCGACAACGGTATACTTTTGTTTCGGTTGCCCCTTAATACTAATAGTGAAACACTTATCAGCATTAAGGGTTAGCCCCACGATTGATAGAAACACAACCGTAGTGTCCAAGAGCTCCTGAAGGCCCTTAGGGGTGGAAGCAAACAGCACCAAATCATCTGCGAAGGCTGCAGCATTAGTTTTTGCATTACCGACACTGACACCGATGTCGTTGGATAGAGACCTGAGCAACCGGTCAATGACCAAATTGAACAGTACGGGGGCTTATGAAGATCCCTCAAGACTAAATCGACTTTGGTCGCGTTATCGGCACATCCGTCCGTGGGTAGAAAGCCTCGCTGTCTTGGGTCCTAGTTAACGGAGTCCGCTAACCTTGACGCCAATATAGCATTCAGTTGTCTCACCACGACCAAAGGCACCGATATCGGACGAAAGTCTTGCGGTCTTGTCACTCTAACTGTTTTCGGAATGAAAATAGTTCGAGCAATTCGGAAGCGGACGGGCAAATCTCCGCACCAAAGAATCAAGTTCATAATGCGAAGCATTATGCCGACGGGAACACTCCTGGCAGTTTTTGGAGTTATACCATCCGGCCCCGGAGACGAAGTCGACACTTTGTGTACTTAGAGGTCCCGTGACGTAATCGGGCCCCATACCCCCTCTCGTATGCACCCTATATGGGGTACGGTGTTACTGCAAGAGGCTAGGCTCGGCTGTGTCATGACTCGCTTCCAGTAAGGCTCCATGACCCTCTGACTTGGCATTGCCGACTCGTTGGTTCCTGCTAGCTAGGATTTTATGCATCGACCTCTGTGTTTGTCCCAGTTACGCTGAACCCTGGCGTACTGCTGCCTTCTACTAATATCGTTCGAATGAATCAGTGGCGAAGTGGCTGGAAATGAAGATGATATTGAGGGAGTTACATCAAGCTCACTTAAACTAGGGCGGCGCTGTATGGTCGGCGGTTCATTCGCTTGTGAGATATGAGCTGCTTGCCCTCTTAGCTTCTCTATTTTTGCCTTATAAATATATCTCTATCGACACTTTTTAATGGCATCGACGCTGCGGCTTTAAAATATCTTTGCTAGCTTTTTATTAATAAGCCTCTCACTATTTGCTGTGAGCTCTAGTTCCTTCCTCGCCACCATCAACAATTCTTCATCACTCCACCTTGTATTGACATCGACACGGATGCGCACTGCATCTTGCGCATCTCTGTGACAATGTCTCATGTGAACACCCAAGCCGATCTTCGTTTTAAACGACCGTTCACATTCTGTACATGGAAACATAGCTTCTACCAAAGCGTCTACGTTCCGCTCCTGATGGTCCCCTAGGCGACGAGCCGTAGAGGTAAAATTCACTGAGTTATGTCAGCTATCCGAGGCTCGTTGTAATTATTTGTACCATCAGTTGTCGATCCTTAGGGCTGGTAACCCGTCAGGACCCTTTCGTCGCTCAAATTAGCTTACTGCCCAGCTGTTACACTGGTCCAGTAGTCCGGAGGATACCACGAGGAGGCCACATTCAACTGGTGGGGCACTTTGTGCCTCTGAGTCGACTGAAAATTTACAAGTAAATTAACTGCCCATTTATCCTACTGTCGCAATAATTTGGTTAGTCCAGCACCGCCCCAACTACCAGGATATTTCTGATAGATGGAAGCGATTGAATGCGTCTGAACCAGTCGGTATTGCTTTGTATTTTTTTAAGATGTTATGCCAAGGTAGCAGGCTTATGATACGGAATCGTAAAATAGAGCTAAGTTATGCCACTATGGTACCCTGCCCAAAACATAAACGTTTTAAAACAGCATACTCCGCAAGACACCACCCTAGAGCTGATAACATTGCTGTCACCAGCATTGAGGACACCCAGAGCTCTTAACCGTTTTACGGATTGATGGCTCCAAATGCCCCGCCAGTTTAATGTAGCGGAGACGACCTCGATGTCACTTCTCGCCTGATAGATAGACCGCAAAATAATCCGTAAGTCCTGTCTGTCATAGATCTCAACTTTGTCGGTCACAACCTGAGCGTCGAGCTCAATCGTGCTATCGTGTCGGAATGCTAACAGATCTGTTCTGAATAGACGAAGTAACCTCTTTTCTCAAGCCCCGTCTTGAGATAGGAAGCCACTCCATTGTACCTATACACACGAGCACCGTGTGTTCTATGACATTTCTGCAGAATGTGAATTAATGACTCAGGAGAATCACATCCTGCTCGGCACTGTCTATTCAGTTCGTGCCTTCTCCGCGTGTTCCGAGACCTCGTAGGAAGAGCATTTATGCGCAATTTGATCCCAGACCGATAAGCTTTACCGCTCATCAGCCTTGTGGGTTGACATACCCATCCGTGTTGCGGAACATAACGTCCAGCTTCACGGAGACCATTACCATCAACAGATATGTACAATCCAGTCGCCCAGTACGAATCGATCTTTGAACGTGATAACAGCTCATCAATTCCTGCCTTTACTCTATCTCGGGCCCTGCAGAGCTCGTCACTGAGAAAACTACTGGCCGCCCCTGATTGTTCGAGTTGAGGCCATTTGACATTGAGCAATCTCTTAGTGCGTAGCATAGGAGCTAACCAGCGTACCGAGGGAATTCCGAGACCCCCACAACTGGGGGCAGGAACGCAACTGACACGTCCAACGGAAGATCGAATACCTTCCTGTCGAAAGACCGTACCAGCTTGTCAGTGAAAAAGTCTCAGAACGCCCAATGCAACACTACCAAGTGTAAGCTTATGATAAAGCTGAGGAATAAGGACAGTTCTGAGGGCGAACAACTTCTGTTGTGGTTTGAGGGGGGCTCGTATCAATCTCTCCATCTTTGGAATTAAGTCCTCCGAAGGATTGTATCGAGCCCTCACACCGGCAGTAAATTTGATGCCAAGATACTTCCATTCCTCTGAACGCTTCAGGCTTGGGCACGAACTAGGACCTACACGGAAGCTCCGTGGTTCGACCACAGTATACTTTTGTTTCGGTTGCCCCTTAATACTGATAATGAAACACTTATCAGCATTAGTGTCCAAGAGCTCCTGAAGGCCCTTAGGGGTGGAAGCAAACAGCACCAAATCATCTGCGAAGGCTGCAGCATTAGTTTTGGCATTTCCGACACTGACACCGATGTCGTTGGATAGAGACCTGAGCAACCGGTCAATGAACAAATTGAACAGTACGGGGGAAAGTCGGTCACCCTGCTTAACACCTCGAGCAGGGACGAATTCCTCCGACCTCCAATCTCCACTATTGAAGTAGGTGCCACCTCCCCTGTTGAATACCGCATTGTGAGCTACAGAGTCAAACACCTACTCACATCGAGTGTAGCGATGTAGCTCGATGCAAACCGCTTATGAAGATCCCTCAAGACTAAATCGACTTTGGTCGCGTTATTGGCACATCCGTCCGTGGGTAGAAAGCCTCGCTGTCTTGGGTCCTAGTTAACGGAGTCCGCTAACCTTGACGCCAATATAGCATTCAGCTGTCTTACCACGACCAAAGGCACCGACATCGGACGAAAGTCTTGCGGTCTTGTCAATCTAACTGTTTTCGGAATAAAAATAGCTGCG